TAGTCGCGGCCTAGGGTCGAGGGCGCCCTCCACGTGTTTAAAAACCGTAGATATCAGGGATCCGTACCCTGGACCCCAAAATACCCGAACGTGCTTCGAAGGTATTCGCTGCCAAGAGAACAGGCCCCCTCAAGCAGATGTCCAATAGGGCATTTTTAGCTGCTTAGTGTTGCATACGAATATAAATAGATAAACAACTAGAAATATAAGTGTATATATATATATTTTTTTAAAACCCTATAAACCCTAAACCCTAAACCCTAAAGCCGAAGCTGCAGGCATCCCAACAACATCTCAGCCCGCGACTGGGAGCAGCACAGCGCCCGGAGACACAGGGAACCTGGCGGTTCATGAGGGTTCGGGTTTAGGGTTTTGGGTTTTGGGTTTTGGGTTTAGGGTTTAGGGTTTAGGGTTTAGGGTTTAGGGTTTAGATGGGTTTAGGGTTTAGGGTTTAGGGTTTAGGGTTTAGGGTTTAGGGTTTCGGGTTTCGGGTTTCGGGTTTCGGTTTTGCGGCGTACGGGTTTAGGTTTAGGGGTTCGGGGGCTTTAGATTTCAGGAGTGTCTGGGTTTAGGGGTTCTACACCTTTTGTTTTTGTTGGGGTAGGGGGGGTGGGGGGTTGTGTAGGGCTTCCCTTCAAGACCTCCTTTCATGGCAGACAGTCAGGTTCTGCATTCAAGGCTTGTTCGACTTGATTCGGGATCTCACATCTCGGTCTCAAGGCTCAACCGCGAACCCCAAACCATGCCAAACCCAAAAACCCTTATAAACCCTCAACCCCTGAACCCCTCAGCCCTTTACCCTATCTTGAGTTTCATGATGTAGGGTTTAGGGTTTAGGGGGGGATGGACTTAACTGGGGGCTTGTAAGTAGGGTAACTATATAAATACATCTCGCTATTGCAAGCGTAAAATTGGGAGCCTGATAACCCGACTTCCCAGATGAAACCGCAGGACTCAAGGGACAGGGTTTAGGGTTTAGGGTTAAGGGTTAAGGGTTTAGGGTTTAGGGCCGACCTCACCCAACAAAGCCAGGAGTAGCGATGTCTTGCCACTACCTGTCCCGGCAGACTGGACTAGGCAGTCACGGCTTGCACTCATGGGGGGATTCTCGAGTTAGAGGGGCGGGCCCCTTTTTGGGAACCCGGTATGCCAGACTCCGTATTTCAGTGGGTACGCCAAAAGGGACCATCAGTTAGAGAACCCACATGCTTCTTCTACTATTTGCTTATATGAACGCCAAGCTTTCTCTATCAGATAATCCTTATATTGCCCTTATAGGGAAGAATACATTGTTTTGTTTTTTGGGGGGTTCTTAAGCAATGGATAGTCTTGCGGACGTGCGTCGGTGCCATCTTCCTTATGGGTTCCCTAAACCCTAAACCCTAAACCCTAAACCCTAAACCCTAAACCCTAAACCCTAAACCCTAAACCCTAAACCGTGGGTCTGCCAACGTGGACCCGGTGGTCAAGCGAACATCCTCAACCATCCAACCGCAAACCATTCGAGGCGTGGGCTCGGAGTCCCCCTAAACCCTAAACCCCAAACCCCAATCCCCAATCCCCAAAACCCTACACCCCAAACCCCAAACCCGAAACCCGAAACCCGAAACCCTAAACCCTAAACCCCAAACCCGAAACCCTAAACCCTAAACCCCAAACCCGAAACCCTAAACCCTAAACCCCAAACCCGAAACCCTAAACCCCTAGACACGGCCTGCGCTCCCCAGGACGGCCATCAGCTGACCGGGGCGAAGGGAAAAATTGATACCTCGTGGCGGCGGCCACACCTACTACACAGGCCCTCGCTGCCCCTCGCTTGAATGGACTGAGGGTTTAGGGTTTAGGGTTTAGGGTTTAGGGTGTAGGGTTTAGGGTTTAGGGTTTAGGTTTTAGGGTTACTAGGAGGCTAGGGAAGCTACTTGTAAAGGGCTTGAACGTCTATACGGCTGGAAAAAAGGGGTGATGAACTATATTTCAACATTTAGCTATACTAGCCCACAGGCCCATGAAAGCATCCTGAACGCACTTTTCGAAGAGGAGAATCGCTGAATTCCCAAATCTTTTGGTGCTGAAACAACTCGACCACAAATGCAAGGGCTTGAGCTGCACCCTAAACCCTAACCCGATAAAGCCCTAAACCCTAAAACCCCCAACTCTAAACCCTAAACCCAATTCGTCCCATGGACACACAGCACCGAGACCCGCGCATCGTAATTGCACAGCAGACTCCGATGCCTACGGATGGAAAGCTGTGGATCCAGCGGGGTGTGGGAGGGTGAGTCCACCCCTAAGCCAAAAACTTCAGGGGGATAAGGAGGGACCCCTAGAAGGGACTCTTATACGCCTATAAAACCCCTATATATATATATATATACATATATATGTAGTCTCTATATACCTGAGTCGCCCCTAAAAAAAACCCTAAATAACCACGAAGGTCCCTTATACGGGTCCCTCCTGTACCCTTGATAAGCCCCAAAACCCTAAACCTTAAACATCCTTAAACCCCAGACCCAGGCCCAAAGGAAGTTGTTTCCGCTCCTTGGGGATGGTGGATGGAGGGCCAGCCGGCGGTTTTTGTATGAGGAATCTGCATGACCCTGTGCGTCCGAGGACCTAGCAACCTTTGGGGTTTGGGGTTTGGGGTTAAGGCCGGCAAAGTGCGAGACAAGCGATTGCTGTGGAACAATGTGTACCAGAACGTGTTCGGGTGTGACGAAGTCGGGTCGCAGAAAGCTGCGCCGAAGTCCTTCCCGTGTTGCAACCACACCTGATGCGCAAAAGCTGCCCTTGTTGGTCGCTTGAGGTCAACTGCAGGATGCCACAGAGCAGACTCCCTCCGAAGCCCTGCAGTATCACAGCAAGTGCCTTGACGCAACCCCCCCCAAGGGTCCAAGATTCCAAGGATGGCAATTTCCGGACCTTCTCGCCGTCCGTGACAGGATTCAATCCCAGGGTTGCAGCCGGAGTCTCTCAGGCCGAAGGAAGACATCGGCCCAATCAGGATCTACCACCACAGAGGGTCGTAAAGCACAGAGTTCACCCAGCCGCCACCCCCCGGAAGGAGGAAAAAGGGGGCGGGGAGGGGGAGGGGGAACTACAGTGTAAGAGTGCAGGCGATGGTTTGTTGGCGACTGTGTGCCAACCCTTGTCTAAGAGATGTGGCACCAGGAAACACCACTCTTCAATGCTCTCTGGTCGGAACGCCAGTCTTTTCGTGAGAGTCAGCCGAGTGCAGAAGAAGGACTACGGCTGCCACCTTGCAGCCCTGTCCACCAAGTGCGTAGGCTGGATTGCTGCTTGCAGCCTCTCTTGTCGGCCTTCCCTGCCCTAAGCCCTAAGCCCTAAGCCCTAAGCCCTAAGCCCTAAGCCCTAAGCCCTAAGCCCTAAGCCCTAAGCCCTAAGCCCTAAGCCCTAAGCCCTAAGCCCTACGCCCTAAGCCCTAAGCCCTAAGCCCTAAGCCCTAAGCCCTAAGCCCTAAGCCCTAAGCCCTAAGCCCTAAGCCCTAAGCCCTAACCCTAAACCCTAAGCCTTAAACCCTAAACCCTAAACCCTAAACCCTAAACCCTAAACCCTAAACCCTAAACCCTAAACCCTCCCATTCTCTGCGCACATCAGTGAGAGCCCAAGGCAGCCTCGGCTGCGAGTGTGCTCGCCGCCTTCACCTGGCAAGGGTTTAGGGTTTAGGGTTTAGGGTTTAGGGTTTAGGGTTTCGGGCCCCTTAAATCCCTCATGATCCCCTTGACCCCCAAAAGTGAAGATAACACATGTCCCAGGGGTCTACCTAGTTTTGTTCTTGCTGTTGTCATATCATCTGGAAAATGCACGTGTTTAGCAGCCATCCGTTTTCATGCCTGATGCCGGAACCGGACGAACACCCTAAAGCCGAAACCCTAAAGCCTAAACCCTAAACCCTAAAGGCTTCGCGGCTTCACTCTAACGCAGCCAAGGACTGAGAAGGCCACAGTTCTGGGTGACATGGGCGTCGGAGGCGTAGTCAGCACAGACAGCTCTGGCCTGACTACAGCCACTGGCAGACCAGATCGGATCAGGGGATTGCGAATTTCGGGTCCAGGAAGGTTTCTTGGGGCTTGGGTCCGCTTCCTACGACTTCGTCAGATAGGTTTTGTTCGGAGGTGGCTCGGCTTGGTTGGGATGATGCAGTGGACAAATCGGTGCGGTTGACCTGCTTCCGTCGAAGCGGTTACGAGTGTGAAGAGCGATTGAGACCCCGAGAGATAGGAAGATGATCACTGGACTGCCTTCGAACCAAGGGACCAAATGAACCCTAAAATTGGGGGAGTTTTTGTCTATACTACTATAATTCCTACTACGGTCCTACGTACCGTGAGCCCTTTTAGGGTTCATTTGGTCCCCAAGGTACCCGGCTGAACGAAGATTGCTGCTGAGCGCGCCGCAGGACTTGCATTGCTGCCGGCAGCGGAAGAGAGCTTGACCGATAGAATGCCAGTCTTAGCGGGGAGTTGCCGTGACATGATCACACTTCTTGAAGGTTCACTAGGGCACCTGTAAGTGGGTTTATAAGTACCGTAAATAAGGTGAGAACCATAGTTCCCCCACTTATAACCCTACGTATAAGCACCCACGAACCTCCGAGTCTCTCCCTCTCCTGCCAACTCCTTCGTTGACCGACAGCTGTACGTCTTGTCGCGATTGAGAACTCTTGAGAACTTGAGTAGCCAGTATTTGCGTACGTACTTGCACCAGCCGGAGAACATCGGATCTTGAGAGGGCGTGGCCACCGGCCTATAAACGTCGATCGATCGCGATAGTCAGGGTTCAGGGTTTGGGATTTAGGGGGGGGGGGTTACGAAAATAGGGGACCCCCAATATAGATCCCCCTAGTAGTAGAATCCCCTTGCAAAAAGAACAACAATAAGGTACCCGAAATTTCAGAAACCCACATATAGACCCCTGAAACCCTAACCCTAAACCCTAAGCCCGAAGCCCTAAACCCTAAACCCTAAACCCTACACCCCCTAGCAGTTGCACCACCCTTCTGGAGGCCCCGGCGTCCTGCGCGATTCTTGCGCACTGGAGAGTCGCAGCACTGGCGGCGGCTTGTCGGAGGCCTCTGCCTGGACCAGGAGGTTTGGGGTTTAGGGTTTAGGGTTTAGGGTTTAGGGTTTAGGGTTTTCGGGTTTCGGGTTTCGGGAGGTTGTGGGATCATGGGTTCCCCTACTACCGCCCTCTGCACCTAGGTTCTCCCCACGGCTCTACGGCTGCTGAGGGGTAATGGATTTAGGGCATGCCAACAACCCTACGAATTTGGGACTTGGTGCCGAATTCCGTAATGGCACTTCGAAAGGACCCTCTGGGTTGGGTACTCCTAGGGTTTAGGGTTTAGGGTTTAGGGCTTAGGGTTTGGGCTTTAAGCCTGCTGAAGCCCGATCATCGCACCCAACGGAGCTTGTCAAGGGAGGCCCTGAGCTCATGGGTTTAGGGTTTAGGGTTTAGGGTTTAGGGTTTAGGGTTTAGGGTTTAGGGCTTCAATGGGCCACGGGGATGATCCTATTGCGGGAACGAGAGTCTCTACAGTCTTAAGTCGCTGGCTCGAGGATTTGAGTATACCCAAACTGTTAGCCCCAAATTGACACCAAACACCCCCCCCCCCCCAAAAAAAAAAAAAAAAAACAGGAGATAGCTCTGAGGACACAGAGGTCTTAGCCTTCACATTCTTCCAGGCACCGGTTGTTGAACGGGCGCGCGCTTAGGATAAGATGCCTAAACCCTAAACCCTAAACCCTAAACCCTAAACCCTAAACCCTAAACCCTGAACCCTGAACCCTCAACAGGGCGAACCTCAGGTGGAGCTTCCCCTTGCCAAGAGAAGCTCGCATCGAAGAGCTCCACAACCTTGGGGTTTAGGGTTTAAGGTGAGGGTGTAGGGTTTAGGGTTTAGGGTTTAGGGGTTTAGGGTATTACGGGTTAGGGTTTAGGGTTTAGGGTTTAGGGTTTAGGGTTTAGTTTGCTGTGAGGGGGCCCTGAACCCCAATAGCTGCTCGTGCCCTTGCTTTGTCTTCCTTGGTGGTGTCGGGACTCTCTGTGATTTTGGGCAGCATACACCCGAACGTCTAGACCCTTAGCCCGAAATCCGACGTTCTGGGCGCAGCACACTATGCCCAGGAGTAACCTAGGAATAACAAGGGTGCCCTTCTTGGGTTTAAGGGGATTCTCAGGGAACCCCAACCCTAAAAAAAGGAAATAAGGGCCTACTCCGGGTCCTTGTAGCCCTAAACCCTAAACCCTAAACCCTAAACCCTAAACCCTAAACCCTAAACCCTAAACCCTAAACCCTAAACCCTAAACCCTAAACCCTGATCAGATAAGCGGCTGGTGCCAGCTGAGTCAGCTCGTCATCACCTCTGCTTTTGACAGCACCACATCATGCGCAGGACTTACGAGTTCTTGTTGGGGAAATCGGGACGGGCTATTCTACCCTATAACCCCTTAAAAAGCCCATTTGTAGGGTTGATTATGGGGATTATAGGGCCGAATAGCCCATCCTGGAAATCGGGAAGTATGTACCGCATATCTCTTTCTAGAACTTATGTACCCTAGGTTTCTTTGTCCTTCTGAGACTGTTGGCTTCTGATTGGCTGCATGATACACGATAATTGAGATACTACAAGTAGCAAGCATGACTCTGACAATCAACACCGCAGTCGAGACCCGCGCTGTCGCCACTTCGATCGGACTCTGCATCATTTTGGGCAGAGGAGTAGTCTCCTAGAGGAGCGAAAAGAGAGACCATGAAAACGAGAGCGACTCGATGGCAAAAGCACACTCCTTCATCTGATTGTCAAGACCGGCACAACCCAGTCGGCCAGTCGACTTGCTGAGTTTGCATAGGGTTTAGGCACGGTTTAGGGTTTAGGGTTTAGGGTTTAGGGTTTAGGGTTTAGGGTTTAGGGTTTAGGGTTTAGGGTTTAGGGTTTAGGGTTTAGGGTTTAGGGTTTAGGGATCAACAACAGCTTATACCAACTTCTGGATGGCCCGAAGGTCCTTCGGATGGACTTCGCGTCAGCGCGCTACCAGAATTCTTCCTGGACACAGGAGACGAAGCTACAGCTCTCTTGCCTTAATCGCCCATGTTGTTGCGCATCCTAAACCCCTCGTGCAAGGCCCACAGCGCGCTCCATCCTGGGTCGTGGCTTGTGTCGCCTGGATTCGGCCGGCCTGACTGGTTGCGGGGGCTGGGGGGAGGGGATTGGTGGAGGAGGTGTGTCATGTGTGTCATGTGTGTCATCTGTGTCATCTGTGTCATCTGTGTCTGTGTCTGTGTCTGTGTCTGTGTCTGTGCGCGTGTGGGTGTGTGTGGTGTGTGTGTGTGTGTGTGTGTGTGCGTGTGGGTGTGTGTGTGTGTGTGTGTGTGTGTGCGGGTGTGTGTGTGTGTGTGTGTGTGTGTCTGTGTCTGTGTGTGTGTGTGTGTCTGTCTGTCTGTCCGTCTGTCTGTCTGTCTGTCTATCTGCCTGCCTGCCTGCCTGCCTGTCTGTGTCTGTCTGTCTGTCTGTGTCTGTCTGTCTGTGTGTCTCTCTGTGTGTCTGTCTATGTGTCTGTCTGTGTAACTGTCTGTGTGTCTGTCTGTGCGGGTACTCTAAATAAGAGGGGGTGCCGTATAATAGGAATCCCCAAGAAGGGACCCCACAAATGGAATCTCTCATATAGTTGAAATCTACTACTCACCACCCAAAAACCAAAGCCATTAGTATTCTTTCTGATATCTTTTGTTGTTGATTTTTGTTGGGGGGGAACTTGGTAGCTCAGTAACCATCTTAGAATAAGAGTACCCTTTTGTTGTCTTGGTTACTTTATTAAAAAGGGTACCACCGGGCTACCAAGAATCCCTAAACCCTAAACCCTAAGCCCTAAGCCCTAAACCACAAAACCCTAGACCCTAAATACTAAACTCTTTAAACCCTAAACCCTAAACTCTTTAAACCCTAAACCCTAAACCCTAAACCCTAAACCCTAAACCCTCCCATACATTCCGGGGCTCCGGACAGGTGTAGTGACTGCATGGGCCGGGCAAGGGCTGGCGAGAGCCGCGGCATGGGCCTTCGAGGTGAGTTTACGGTTTAGGGTTTAGGGTTTAAAGTTTAGGGTTTAGGGTTTAGGGCTTGTCTAGGGAGCTTCTGGGGGCTTAACAGGGCTCAGAGAGCTGAGAAGGCTCAGAGAATTCATCCGAAAACCCGATTTCTTGCCCTAAACCCAAATTAGACCCTGAACCCCAAAAGCCAAACTTAAGCCCGAGAGTGTTTAGGGTTTAGGGTTTAGGTTTAGGGTTTAGTTGCACCCCCCCGACCTCGAAGGCCGGCGCTGTTCGCTGGCCTTGGGCGTGGGCATCGTCACGCTGCGTCTTGCAGCCTTGTAGGCCATTGGATGGAGGACGCTTCGTGAAATTTTAGGGCTCATGTCTCTAGATTTAAGGGAAGTGTCCGGAGTTTAAGCTTTAAGGGCAGTTCAAGAATTCGGGGCGAAGAGTTTCGGATTTAGCTCGGCTTATCAAGGTCCCGCCGGGATCTCCATGCCAACCAGCAAGCTCGCGGACTGCACGACTCAGTTTAGGTTTGGCCGAAATGTCCAGTGATGCTTCGTACTGACCAGCAGTCGAGGCACATTTCCGGTGTTAAGGTAGGCTTAATATTAATATTGAATAGGCTACTGTGTAGAGAGCGCTTCAGGCGCATCTGCGACAGCCGCGTAGCTTTTGCGCTGGCAGCATTATCAAGAACCCTAAGCGCCCTAAACCCTAAACCCTAAACCCTAAACCCTAAACCCTAAACCCGAAGAACCCTAAGAGCCGTTGCAGAGGCTCAGAAGCAAAAAGCCGAGCTCGGCACCGGTTGCGCACTGCTTTGGTGCGGCAAGGGCCTTGGGTTTAGGGTTTAGGGTTTAGGGCTTAGGGTTTAGGGTTTAGGGCTTAGGGCTTAGGCGTCAGGGTTTAGGGGTTGGGTTTTGGGGTTTGGGGTTTTTTGGGGATTGGGCACTTGACCAAAAGTCAGGCATCTCTGGGTTCCCCTTACTTGGGGTACTCAATAACCCTACCTATATATACCTATGAAGCCAGGAGTAGCCTAGGAATCAAAAGGGTACCCTTTTGAGCGTTAAGGGGATTATACAGGACCCGAAACCCTAAAAAAACAGGGAATAAGGGCCTAAACCCTAAACCCTAAACCCTAAACCCTGAAAGTCAGCCAGCCATAAGCTCCGAGCCCAGATGAAACATCGCTGAGATCCTTCTTTAGGATCTCCTCAAAGCGCGCAACGGCAACCTGCGGCTGAAGGGCCACAAGGGGTTTAGGGTTTAGGGTTTAGGGTTTAGGGTGTGGAGGCTCTTCTTTTGAGGGCCCTGATTAGGGTCTCAGGGGTTTAGGGTTTAGGGGTTTAGGGCTTAGGGTTTTTAGGGGTTTAGGGTTTATGGGCTTAGGGTTTAGAGGGCTTAGGGCATGTAGTTTAAAGGGTCTTGATGCGAAGTTGCTTTATAAGAATGTTCTGGGTTTCTTGTGTTTTGGTCCGGGACTGACTTCTTTGGGCTCCCGAAATCTTACCCAAGCTTCACTTGTGGCAGCAGTGCGCGAGAGCTCAGGCAACAAGGGTTTTGGCAGGCTGGGCTGAGGGTTGAGGGTTCAGAAGAAGAGCGAAAACACACACTAGACCCTAGAGTATCAACCCTCGAGCCTGTGATAGCATGTGAGCCCTCAACCCTAACAAGCCTGGACCCTAAACCCAAACACGCCCTACTGCACCCACCATCCCCGACGCTGAGACACCGCTAGATCCTGGACCCGAAAGCCCTCAACCCCTCAACCCCTCAACCCCTCAACCCCTCAACCCTTCAACCCTTCAACCCCTCAACCCCCCAAGCCCTTCAACCCCTCAACCCCCAAAGCCCTTCAACCCCTCAACCCCTCAACCCCTCAAGCCCTCAAGCCCTCAACCCCTCAAGCCCTCAAGCCTCAACCCTAAACCCTAAAATCTAAAGATGTCAGGGCCTAGGGCCCAAGAAGCCCCCTAAGGTGCCTGGAGCTTCATGGGAACATCCTAAGTAGACTTAGGGTACGTAGCCATGGTTTAGAACCTTACAATTTAGGGCACTTACAACCCCTAAACCCTAAACCCCTAAACCCTAAACCCCAAACCCCTAAACCCCAAACCCCAAACCCCAAACCCCTAAACCCCTAAACCCCTAACCCTAAACCCTAAACCCTAAACCCTAAACCCTAAACCCTAAACCCTAAACCCTAAACCCTAAACCCTAAACCCCTAAACCCCTAAACCCCAAACCCCCCCTCAAGCAACCTAAGGGCGCCTGGGCGTGCGCCAGGGATGCGAGGAGCTCTGGGATGGCGGAGAGGGGCGCCTCTGGGTTTAGGGTTTAGGTTTAGGGTTTAGGGTTTAGGGTTTAGGGTTTAGGGTTTAGGGTTTAGGGTTTAGGGTTTGGGGTTTAGGGTTTGGGGTTTGGGGTTTAGGGTTTAGAGCTTTCATGGCTTAGCAGGGCTTGTTTGGGTGCTATTAATTTGATTCCGGGCTCTGGGTTTGAATGCTTCAGGGCTTAGGGTTTAGGGTTTAGGGCTTAGGATTTATATCGGATTCTTTTGGGGTTTTGCTGGGTTGGTTTTGGAGCGTTTGCGTGAAGCTTTCTCGTCGCTTTCGGGGGAGCTAGGGTTTAGGGCCAAAAGGACATCGCTGACTTTCGTTCCAGATCCTTCACCCTAAACCCTAAACGCTAAACCCTACATCCTAAACCCTAAGCCCTAAATCGTAAACCCATCCTAGAAGCTGCTATAGGTCTCCTTGTTGCAGCCTGGTGACCCGCATGGCGTTGAAGAGCGCGAGGGCCGAGAACACCGAGGATGCGCGGAGCACACCCCCAGAGAGGGCGAAAACCTGGGTTTAGGGCCTCGAGTTTTAGGTTCATGGTTGGGATAGCATTTAGTTTTTTCTATTCCCTATTGAGTCTAAGTACCCTTAACAATGAAAAAAAAACCTTACCCCACTATGACAAAGTTGGGGGGGGGGGGGGGGGAGAGAGTTTGCTGCCTGAAGTTTAGGGCTTTTGGGGTTTAGGGCTCCGAGGGCATTCGGGTTAGCGTTTAGGGCTTCAGGTTTGGGCACCTCGAAGTACTTTTGCTGCCCCTAAACCCTAAACCCTAAACCCTAGACCCTAGACCCTAAACCCTAAAGCCCAAACCCTGTCCTATGTCAAGGAGCTGTGAACGTCGCCAGGCTGACAAATGTCGGGGCAATGGTCGCCAAAGTCGAGGAGGCTGCCTTCAGGTTGAAAATGGGTTTAGGGTTTAGGGTTTAGGGTTTAGGATTTTTAAGGTTTAGGGATTACGGTTTCAAACTCCATAATCCGAACAGCTAAACCATCAGTGGGCGGCGGAGAAAAGTTGCAGACTTCCGGCTCTGACAAGTCTGACTTCCATCAGGCTGCGACGTGAGCGCCAGGCGGAAGAGCAAGCTAAACCCTAAACCCTAAACCCTAAACCCTAAACCCTAAACCCTAAACCCTAAACCCTAAACCCTAAACCCTAAACCCTAAACCCTAAACCCTAAACCCTAAACCCTAAACCCTTAAACCTAAACCCTAAACCCTAAACCCTAAACCCTAAACCCTAAACCCTAAACCCTAAACCCTAAACCCTAAACCCTAAACCCTAAACCCTAAACCCTAAACCCTAAACCCTAAACCCTAAACCCTAAACCCTAAACCCTAAACCCAAACCCTAAACCCTAAACCCTAAACCCTAGACCCTAAACCCTAAACCACAGCACAAGAACGCCACCGCAAGGGCCCTCAAGCAGCGAACAGCTGGGGGCCTTCAGCACAGCTTCCCAGCGCAGGGCCTCAAGGAAGCAAGGGCTTAAGGCTTTTGGGCCTAGGGTTTGGGTTTTGGGTTTTGGGTTTAGGGTTTATAGGGTTTATAGGGTCTATAGGGTTTAGAGGGTTTAGAGGGTCTGTAGGGTTTAGAGGGTTTATAGGGTTTATAGGGTCTATAGGGTTTAGAGGGTTTATAGGGTTTATAGGGTTTATAGGGTTTATAGGGTTTATAGGGTTTATAGGGTTTATAGGATTTATAGGGTTTATAGGGTTTATAGGGTGTATAGGGTTTATAGGGTATATAGGGTTTATAGGGTTTATAGGGTTTGTAGGGTTTATAGGGTTTAGGCTTCTCAAAGGGCCCAGGTTCAGCAGCACCATCCTGACAGCGGCAAGCTGCAAAACCGAAGAAGTGCGGCAACAAGGGGCCGATGTTTCAGATTTAAGATTACTGCGAGGGGATGGAGGTTCTGCTGGGATTTAGGGTTTGGGGTTTAGGGTTTAGGGCTTTAGGGGTATGAGGGAAAATTGGGTTGAGCTTGTTCCGTTGCCCGTCCTGAGACTTTCCACAGGATTCACAGCATGCAGACTGGGGTTTTTGAAGTTCTAGGGCACAGCTAGTCCTGATTCCAGCCACCTACACTTTAATGGACCCTGGGCTTAGCTATTTCCTAAACCCTAGACCCTCATTAAACCCTAAACCCTAAACCCTAAACCCTAAACCCTAAACCCTAAACCCTAAACCCTAAACCTAAACCCTAAACCCTAAACCCTAAACCCCAAACCCTACCCTACCATGCCCCTGTACAACCCAAGGGCCCATACTTCAGAACCCGTTAAGAAAAGGTAAGGGATCAAAGTAAGGGACAATGCAACTACCCGTAGATTGAAAGCCCAGTGTATGAGGGCCTGCTGGAAGGTTCATGGGTACTCATGTGTAGCCTAAATAAGTTTGTAACCCTAGTTGCCCAACTCATAGCCCTACCAGAAGTACCCATGAACCTCCAAGTAGCCCGTAGCCCTAAACCCTAAACCCTAAACCCTAAACCCTAAACCCTCCAAGTAGACCCACACAGATCTGGCGCCTGAAGCTCCACATGGCGCTGCTGTTGAATCTCATCGAAGCAGAGGCCCTGGCTGTGCTCCGACTTAGGGTTTAGGGTTTAGGGTTTAGGGTTTAGGGTTTAGGGTTTAGGGTTTGGGGTTTGGGGTTCAGGGTTTAGGGTTTGGGGTCTAGGGTTCGGGGATTAGGGTTTAGGGTTTAGGGTTTGGGGTGTAGGGTTTAGGGTTTACGGCGTCGCTTTTTTAGTACACGGATATTGAAGCAGCTTAAACAGCATACATTGCACTACCTCCGTGAAGGACTGTCCGGGTACCTTTTGTCGGCTGTTTGAGGCCAGGAAGGCACCAAAAAAGGTACGTTTTCGGCGCTGGGTTATGCAATATCCGGATTTATATATATATATATATATATATATGCAGATGGTTACATAGAGCCGGGCCTCCACATATTTCAAAACCGTCTCCGCAGTGTGTAGGGTTTAGGGTGTAG